AAAGTTTGAATGAGATTGGTCTTTTGTTAAAGTCTTTTTGAAATTTGTCAAAATATGATTGACATTTATTAAAAAAACAAAGTTTGAAAATCAACTTGACAAAAGTCAAGGTTTTATTATGAAAGTGGTTTTGAAGTTTGAAAACAAGAAGGTTTTGAAAAAGGGAGAGGATTTTGAAAATTTAAGAAGGGGAGGAGATGAAGTGACTACCCTAGAAAGAAAAATAAAAGCTAGAGATAAGAAAGATTTAACCAACTTGTAGAACACTTCATAGCAAGCAAAAAGAATTTCATCCATCTTGAGCATAAGCAAATGAACAAGCCAAATAAAGACAAAAATCCACAATACTCCAAGCATAGGTAAAAAGACCTAAACCTAAGTCTAAAAGTCCAAGAATAGTCCAAGAAGTCTAAGGTCTAAGAATAGTCCAAGAGCAGAACCACAAAGTTAAGAGCACCAAGTCTTTTAGGGGTTTAATCCTTTATTAGTGTTTTGAACAAAGTGTGGTCCAAATGGCCAAAAGAAAAATGGCGGAAACATAAACATGTGTCCAACGGACAAAGAGAAAATAACGGAAGCATAAACAAAAGTATGATATGAGATGATAATAATGGAGCATAAAAATAAAAAAGAGATAGGGAGCAAGTAGGAAACATAAACAAAATTAGTATAATGAAAATGTTAGTGAGTTAGTAGTTAGTATAAATGATCAACGACGATTAATTCTTGCACTTAGACCAAAGTTAATGAAAAATCATTAGAGGATTGATAAGACCAAAGCCTCCTAACAATAAGCTTCATAGATGATGGACTTAAGACAAATAATCAACCATACTTGGACTTTCAAACATAGGTTTGAGCCATGAATGATCACTTTTTCGATTACGGGACAATGTAGCGCTATGTTGAGCAATCGTAATCGGGTTTATGTAGAAACCACGACTATTTGAGGTCGGCCAGTACAATGTTAGTGCTAATGCATGCTAGAAAAGTGATATGTAGATCATTCTCCGAAAGCAATAACGCACAAAAAGAAAAGAGGTAACGATCTCATCTTCATCAAGAACTTGAAATAAGTTCAAACGATATCGAAGATTTTCATCGATCCAAAGAAAAAGAGAAGAGGAGAGGGAATGCCAAATTGAATTACAAGTTCAAGATCATTCCATCTTTAAGTTCATCCACTCATCTTAATGGATTAAAGCACTAAACATATCATTAACTCAAAGCACCTAAAATGAATTTAACAATTCACTTTAAAGATAGATTTAAATTGATGAATGTTTATCCAACTTCATCTACACCATAAGTCCAATGAATTTAAAGAGGAATATGACCTTTAAAAGTGTATTTCATGGCCAAAACCAAAAGGAAATGAAAGAAGAAGAAGTGAGAACCAAAACAGTCCCAAAAGAGAGCCAAAAAACACATTCTGTATTGGTGCAATTGATTGCACTGATACAACAATCGATTGCACAGCAAAAAATCAGCATTCTGGGCAAAAACAACACTGTGCAATCGATTGCACTGATATAGAAATCAATTGCACACTGACAGACAGCAACAAAACAGCATTTGCAAGGCAAAACCATGCTCAAACATTTCTTCAAACATCTCATGATCAAGGATGCAATTGAGCACGAAAATTCAAGTGAAATAACAATAAATAGCACCAATGGAACACAATTTGCAAGATCCAAAGATCAAGCAACAAGAATCAACAATAGATCACATTATGGAAGATGGATCAAGCACACCAATGGTGGAATAAGGGTTTACCACTTCAAATCTGAAAATTCTTCAAAGCAAACTCCATAAACACCACTTCAAAGCTTTGATCTACAAGAATTGAGGATGAAAAAGTGAATGGATGAAGGTTTAACTCAAAGATTAATAAATTCTAGTGATGAACTTACTAATCTTTCAAAAGGGAGAAAGAGCTTTGGTGAATTTGGTAATTGGAGAAAATTGAAAGTCAAGAAAGAGTTTGACAAGGTAATTTTGGCTATCAAAAGCTTGAGAAATGAGAGAAATGAGGCATCTATTTATAGGATTTAGGCTTGGAAAATTTGGTGGATTGGAATTTGGTTTGGAAACAAAATTAGGCTTGGAATTTGAATTTGGAGGGAAATTCAAGATCAAGTGGTGATTAGTGAGGGTGTATGGTGGGAATTAATTGTGATGAGGTAGTGAAATTATTTTTGGGTGATCTAGAATATTCTCAAATGATGAAATTGGTGCCAAATGCTTCAAAATTTGAAAAATGCTTATTTTGGCCAATTTTGTCCTTGTGTAATCGATTTCAAAATCTAGGCAAAATATGTAGGGTGCAATCGATTGAACCAATAGTGCAATCGATTGCACAGTTGAAAATCTTGAAAAATGCCCTGTTGGCTGGATTGTGCTGGCTCTGGCTCGATACTTTGACTATCAAAGAAGGCATGGAAATAAACACATGAACCTTGGAGTTTCTTGAAAATAATCAATCAATACTTGAGAACTCTTGATCAGATGATTTTGAATTGTTTGCAGATCAACTTCGACTTTTTCAGATGAAATTCATTCGAGCTGAGGGACTAGTATTTGATACCTTTGATCCAAATCTTCCTGAAAAAGTTATTAAAGAGAAAACAAACATATATTTTTGGATTTTGATTAATGGTTAGTAAACATAAACATGAACAAAATACTAAACAAGTAAGAAAACAAAGGTGCCTCGTGATCTCTCAAGACCAAACTTGCAGAGAAAGGCAAGAGAACCAAAGCTTGCAATCTTGTTTGTGGGATGAGATGCAAATGACATGTGGGATCTTAGGGATAAAAATTAGGGTATTACACATACCATTCAAAACAAACACTTTACCATTAGCTTCCGTGGCAGTTTGGGCCTTCTTCGATTTTAGACGATGGATACTAATATGACCAAGTTAACTATAGTGGTAATAAGTCGAAACATTACTCTTACACTCAGCAATACGGTGCTCTTATTTCCCACACTTGAAACACTTATAACCTACACTCTTACACTCAACAACATGATGTCCCAACTCTCCACACCTGAAACATTTTACAGGAGTGAGAATTCCTCCCACACTTGTCTCTTTCTGACCTGCAACCTTCTAATGGAACTTTTGTTTCCCTTTATCAGTTGGAGTCACATAAGGTTTTTCACAATATTAATTTCCATTTTTATTCTCACTAGCACTCTTGTAGTGAGCATACCTGGTCCTACTATCTTCATCATACACTCTACATTTATTCACCAACACTAAGAACCGAAGAATCTCTTGATAACTAATGAATTTCTTTATTTCAGGATGTAAGTCACTCTCAAGCTTCACGCACTTTGATCCTTTAGCTTCCACACCATTACAGCGGGGAGAAAATCTCACAAACTCTTCAAATTTAGCCGCATAATCTACAACAGTCATGTTTCCTTGCTTCAGCTGCAAGAATTTAATCTCTTTCTTACCGCGGATATCAGCTAAAAAGTATTTATCTATAAACTCTTTCTTTAAGTTCTCCAAAGTAATCCCAATACCTGCAGCTCCCAACCTCTGGTGGGCATTATCCCACCAATACTCAGCCTCTTCTAATAGAATATGTGTCCCAAACAACACTCACTAGTGTAGAAAGATCAAAGAAGCACAACTGGTTATTCCTTTCAAGTATTTGGTGCCCCAATCTCATGGTGCTCGAGAAAGCAACATGTGGTGGCATTGTCATTGTGTGAAACTGAATATATAGCAGGACCATATGTTGCGTATCAAGCAATCTAGATCATATTTGTGCTGGAAGAGATTGAGGTCGAAGTGGAGAAACCTCTGGTGCTGCAGATCGACAATAAGTCATCCATAATTCTTGCAAAGAATTCAATTTTACATGGAAGGAGTAAACACATCGAAGCTAGATTTCAATTCTTAAGGGATAAGGTAAATCGAGGTGAACTTGTAGTAAGACATTGCTCAAGTGAAACACAGTTGGCCGACATTTTCACCAAAGGATTGAAGATTGACAGATTCCTGAATTTGAGAAAGAATTTAGGAATAGTTCAGATCGACTATGATTAACGTATGTTCGACAATTTGGATTATAGAGGAATGTTGTGATATAATCCAAGTTGTGTTGCACAAACCCATAGTTAATTAGAGTTTAGGGTTTGTTACTTAATATACAAGTTAGTTGTATATAAATAAAGATATTTTTATAATTAAATTTGTACAGTCATAATTCAATAATATAATTCTTAATTTTTTATTCTCTCTTTGTCTCCTCAATAAAAGTGTCTCGTATACTAACAAAACCATTAGTCAGTCATCTCTTGAATCTTATAAAAAATAAAATTAACCATTTAATAAATTTAATACAAATGTCAACTTTTTATTTATTTGTGTGATTTAGTAAAAAACAAAAAAGTCCAAGATTAAGACGAATAAAAACTCAATTGAAGAGAGAAAAGCTAAAAAAAATTGATTAGTTTATGGTAACTAATCTATTAAATTAATAATATTTAATATAACTAGGCTAAAAATTGAATTAACTAATAAATATCGAATATTTAAATTTTAAAATTTAGTACTCAAACTATAAACTATAAACGGTTTAAATTGAATATTCTAAAAGAAATTATTAGCATAACTAAAGGACATGCTATTATTTGTCTTTGATTGTATAAATTAAGAAAGTTGGCAGGTTTTTTATTGTATGCGGGAAAGTTAGTAAACATATAATGTATTTTTTAATTATATAAAGATTATCATGTATGTGAAGAGAAAAAAAAAAAACCTTTAATAAATATTAACTGATACAACTGATTCATAACAGTTTTCCAACTGTTTTAGAGTTAGTTATATCTATATGTGACAGCTGGCACAGTCAGTTAGATTAGTTGGCACAGTTAGTTAGAGTGTTTCATTCTTTATATTCAGACACAGTGATCTTGTTTACTTCACAAACACTCTTCACATTCATTCCATAAACAAACTCTTCCAAATTCTCTCATGGATTCTTCTTCTTCTTCTTCTTCTTCTTGGGTTTCTTTCCCTTCCGCGCTAACCTTCAAAAACATGCTAGCTTCGAAGACGGCTTCCAATGAAAACAGACAAGAGATCTGTTACTTGCAAAACGGAGGAGGCTTAGAAGTGGCTTTAATGGAGAATGCTACCTCTGATTTTCTTGCTACATTGCCTTCCAACCCAACCTTTGTTTCTGCCATGCTTGCCTTGTTTATGGCACAATCAAGCAAAGTTTTCTTGAATTTCTTTCCTAAGAGGCAATGGAATTTCAGACACATGCTTGCTTCTCAAGGAATGCCTTCTACTCGTAGTGCACTATGTTCTGCTCTCGCCACTTCTGTTGCTCTCACTCATGGCGTTGCTGATTCCGTCTTTCCCGTTTCTTTGGGATTTAGTCTCATTGTGATGCTTGATGCTGTTGCTGCTAGAACACATGTTTCCTACCATGCTCTCGTATGTATTACTCCATTCTTCTTAGTTTGTAACCAACAACATATCTTTTGACCTGAAAATTATCGTGTCGGTGCCGTTTGATGCAGGTGGTTAATACGCTTGTTGATGTAATGTTTAAAGATCACCGTATTCTTGACAAGAGGCTAGAAGAAAATGTTGGTGACACCCTTCGACAAGTCTTAGCTGGTGCACTGGTTGGTTCTGCAGTAGCCATTCCCTGCTGTCTAGGTTTCATGCAGCTCCGTTAGGTGCAAACTCTATTCTATACTTTGCTCTTATAATGTCTTACACTGAAAAAGATAGATGTTGATGCCTAATTTACCTTGTTCAAAGTTCAAATTAATAATACAAATTATAGGGCTTCAAAGATTTTGTATTCCTAAAGTATATGATTGTGTGTATGGCTTGACACAGGTGCTTAATATGATTGTGGCTCACATGTTCCAAGGAAGCTAAAGGAACTTGTTGGTTGTTTCATAGCCATTATGCTGTCAAGGTTGTGTTTTAGTGGGTTAGGTGATTCTGTTATGTTTCCTTTTTGGATCAAACTGTATTAAATACTAATTGCTCTTGTAATGTGATTCATACTGTCTTGTATAATAAAAGATAGAATTTGCCAAACAAGTTGAAACCAATCAATGAATTCTATTTTTCTATTTTCACACTCACAATGCTATTTTTTCCTCTTCTGTTTTTGTACAAAACGTACAACTTTTATTCAATATTCATAAAACAGTGTTCCTTCTTTAAAATTAGATCTTATAATTGCTTTTCATTTATAAGACAATGAATGCTATAAATAGACCGAAAGGAACTTAAAAGGGAATAATGTAATGGTAAGATACACTTATTTGGTTAGTAGCTTAATATGATCATTTAAATCATTTCAATACATGTTTGTGGACAATAGTTTCAACAAAGAGTCCATATAAAATTTCAACTTCACCCGGTTAAAATTCACCTTTTCAATTTCAAACTCATTAACCATTGAATTTTTGACACAAGTGATTGGTGACATTAAAATGTCATTCACCAAAAATACTTGCACGGGAACCAGAAATTAATGTTTTAATTTTAAGAAGGAATTAAAAATAAAAAGAGTTGAATAACTGTTGTTTTTGAACGGTGATTCTGATTTTTTTTAAGAGGCATAGAATAGACTTGTATGATTAGCACTCAACGCTTATTTAGTTCAAAATTTAAGACGGAAATAATAAAATTAGAGATCAAAGATTGTATTCCTTCTCATAACATATGAATTATTTTTATATATTGAATCGAATTGAGTGCGCTTGAGATGAATTGTGCCTTGGTCAATTAGGCCCTTTGACCGGTACAAAATAGTTATCCCCAAGGCTTTGCCGGACACTGAAGGAGTCGAGAGAAACCTTAAGTATCATTTACTGACCTCCACGTCATAGTTCAGTGTGGAATATACCTGAATCACTTGGGATTAGTTTTGAAAATGTAATGGGGACAAAAGACAAAGAGAAGACCACTTTCACTTGCTCCTTCAACAGTTTTAGTTATAGAAGAATGTTCTCTAATCCTGAAATAAAAAGCGAAGACATCGATAATTTTTTTGAAAGTGCAGTCACGGTATCGTATAGTATCACTTACTTGTTTTGATGTTTTTGTCAATTCGAATATAAATGTTTTAGTTTATTTTTGTATTTGTAATTTGCCTCTCATTTAATTTTCGTGTGCTTGTACGTTATTCGTATTTCATTTGTATTGTAATCGCTTCAGCTATTATGTTGTTGTACCACTAAGAACCTTCTTTGCTCAATTAAATAAGAATATTTTGATCTATGATATTGTTTATTTTTTATAGCAAGTTGCTACTTTGTCGCTTCATCAGGCGTGACTTGAATCACAAATTAGAACTCTTAAATCTAGATTTTCAGTTGGTTGATTCAAATCAAGTGTAAAACATGATTCGAATAAGAAGTTGTGTGAGATATGGGATCAGCCTATGGAGCATTTGATTTGAATCACAAAATAAACATGATTTGAATCACAACCTCGTGTGATCCGAATCAAGTGTAAAAATTTATTTGAATCAACTGTCGTTATAAAGCCATATTTGGGTTCTGTTAAAGTTGATTTGAATCAAAGATTCTTCTTGATTCAGATCAAATCTTCACGAGACCCATTTGCATTCTTGATTTAAATTGTTGTTTCTTTGGTGAAAGCAATAAGTATGTGAAACATAGAGTGAAACCGATAGAGACAAAATGTAATTTTGTCTTCTCTTCTTAGTGTGTCTATACCCATCAATATGAATCTTTCTCTTCTTCTCTAGAACAACTTCTTGAGTGTAATCTATGTCAGATACACTTCTTTTTGTTGCATCTTGTTCTTGTGCAATTTGTTGTTGTTGTTGTTTGTGAATTAGAGAAACTGGGTTGATTAATCATGCGTGTTCATCATGATTGATCAAGTTCATGATAGCAATTAAGAACCAAGACCCATTTATCCAGAAATTTGAGAGAATCTTGCGTGTGTGTGTTCTTCATTCACATTCATCTAATCTCTTGACTAACACCTTGTTTTTTTAAATTGGTTTATGAAATATTATGGCATTGTTCATCATCTTTATCCTTAGTCTTTTCCATTCTTGAGGACCTTCATCTCTAAAGATTGAGTGATTGAAGGAGAGTAGTGATACATTAGGGTATCTAATGTTTTTTTGTGAAGTTTTGCTGTTTGTAACAGGTGCAAGTATCATTTCTTGATTGCAGTTTGGTTTTCTTTGATATTGATCAAGAAAGGAGTTTTTCAATATACTCCAAGGAAAACTTTGGCGATATCAAGCATCAACGGTCCATAAGACGGAGTTGGAAATTATCCTTCTTTGGTGGTGTTGGAGACAGATTGCTCGTAGAAAAAGTTGGGAGTTATCCACTAAACAGTTAGCTAATGCAATCGCTCAGATAAGAAATCAGTGGGACCAGGTGGATTACGACACACGAATACTTGAAGCAGATTATTGCGAATAACAATGTTATTGGATCAAAATATTTTACAGATCTTGTTTTTGTTAGCAATTTGAGTGTGTGCATCAACAAAGAGAATTATCATGTGATAGTTTGTTGTAACCAAAATGATTGTATAAAACTTATCAAAATAATGAAAGATAATTATTATTTTCCAGTGGTTAATTAACACCATTGAAAAATGGAGTAGGAAAAGCAAGGTTGAACATCGAACCAGTATATATCTTTTTGTATCATTTCTTCTTCCCTTAACTTCTTTACTTTACTAGTATTCATTAATATTGTTATTTCATATATTGCATAATTGCATTGATTGTATGCCCCATAAGATAGAATTTACTTATAGAGATTTCATGTATAAGCTTAGGTCTATGGTGTATCAATCTTATAGAATTATCATGAATCCAATTATGGCTTGATAGAATATCTATATGAAGAGTTTTTGAATCACTTTGTTTAAATCGACTTTAGTCATCTTGAGATTGACTTGCATTATAAGCGATCAAGTCCTTAGTAACATCTTGTACTATTTCACTTGGTTTAATTTATTGAGATGCTTCCAAGATCTCTTGTTTTTGTGTTTTGCTTCCGGGCCTCTTAAAATCTCTGATTTCATTTATGGGACTTAAAATGATTTTGAAATTGTCTTAAGGAAAAAGGGTCTATTCAACCCCTCTTCCGAACCTCTTTGTATCCATATTTTCACCAAACAAATTAGTCAATGGACACTGTCTTAGGTTATTTCTTGAGATCCCCACATTGGAAGAGGAAACTGTAGAATATATCTCTTTGAGAAAGACTACTTATTCAATCATATATCTACCTTTACTCCTCTAGTGTGTTCTTCCTCCCACCTCTCTCTCTCTCTCTCTCTCTCTCACACACACACACACACACACACACACACACACACACACACACAATTTTTCCTTGTTTCCTTCATTAAGGACAATATGTATTTTTAAGTGTGGGGGAGGAATGTCATATACTTTATTTATGTTGTTTTCTTCTTTCTTGTTTTAAAAAATATACATGTTTCTTCGTTGGTTTTTGGGGTTGCAGACGCAAGTTATTTCTCCCTTTTCTTGACTAAATATTTGTGATGTGATGTGAGTTACTTTCTTTGCATTCTTAGTATCATAAGTAGGATTTAATTTTAAATTATGCATCATTTGTGATAGATCATTACCCTTAGTGAGAATTTGAACCTTATAATGGATAAAATACAAATTTGCATTCTTTTTTCTTTCTTGTGTAATTTCACTAATGTTTGTTAGTTACTATACAATTTGACTTGACTCTTGTTAAAACTCTTTGTTTACACGTGCACATTGATATGATAAAGGAATTTTGTTTTCATTTTATTTTTAGCCATTTAGCCAAATAAGCCAACCTTAAAATTATCATCCTTTGTTTGAAGCTCCTCCGAGGCTATTTATCCCATTTTTTGTGTATGACTCATTATAATCCTAAAGTTAAAATAATATTATGACCCTATGTTAGGGTATGAAAAGTCTTGTTTAGAGTTTGTCTGAGATTGAATTAGTATATTTGTGATCTTTCAAAAATTGGCAGAAAAAAATGGTAAAAGAGAAAAGAAAAGAAAAAGAGAAAAAGAAAGAAAGAAGGAAAGAAAGACTAGTCATATTATCATTGTATGCCTTCTAGAAAAAAATAGAAAAAAGTTTCTACAAAGAAGTTATTGGAAAGTGAAAAAAGTGTTTATTAGTTCAACTTCCGCAGTTTCTTTCAATTCTCTTTTGTCCTTTTAAATTTTAACCTAGTACCCCTAGGATTTATCTCACCCTTTCCTTGACCATGTTACAACATGAATTAAACCCTTTTGATATTTGTGTGCATGTATTTCAAGTGTGCATGTTAGAGTCTTTACAAGCTTATGATAATGCTAACTTTCATAATGTGCTTTGATTCTAAACAAATAACCTAAACACATGAGATTTGAGAGAATTTATTGTTAGAATTTTGGGTCACAAATATAATATTTAAGGTGTTAGTGTTATTATTTTAATTAGTCAAGACTTAAAAATGAGTCTAATTAATATAACATTAAGTTTGTGGCTAAAATCATAAATATCATGAAAGGTTAGATTATTGTGTAAATACCTTAAGTCAATATCTAATTTGATGAGGGGAAAAATTAGAATATTGAAAATTAAGAAATAACCTATAATTATTTAAATGGGTGATGGTCCCCATTTGTAAAGTACTAACAAAAGTAGATTCAAGAAACCTTAAGAAACTCTACAAATTAGAAAATCACATACCTGCAACCTTCAATGACTTTAATGACTTCAATGACAAATTCAGGCACGCTTCCGTTTTTATTCTCTAATTGAATTCTGATATAAGTGTAAGGGTTTAAAATTTTATTATTAATTTCTATATCAGTAAAAATCAGAAGGTTTTGAACAGATTGAAATTATTTTTTATCTTCCCTTTTGTATAAAGTTTAAATTTGTATATACTGTTATTCATATTTTGGGTTTATATTTCATG